CCCCCCCCTCCCCCAAGTCCGCCTCTTGTAAAATTGAGCCAGTCGCTGGGGTAATTAACTATATAGGGGATTACACCTATAGGAAACGTGAACTCATATCATAAAGTCCTCGTAAAATGAGGGAGAAATCTCTAGGCAATGTCTTATCTAAAACCCAATCTACTTTCTGAAAATTTTCCTCGGAACTTACTCGTTAAAGTTTTCCTTGCCCACACAAAAAGAAAGGGGTTGTGGAGAGGCCGAAGCGCAAATTTTTGGAGCCCACAGGCACTACTGCTACTAATAGCAGTATAAAATACCAATAAATAGGGGAGTACAATCAAAACAACATAATCCTATAGTTGATGATTTCAAGATCACAAAACAGTTATAATTTCCCGGTTATTAATAATAGGCTACTAGTTGAATCAATATCAAGCGCACACATTTCATGAGCCTAGCAGCAGAATACTAGGCACTCTCAAGATTTCTGAGGGAGGAAATCAGGTTAATGAATATAATTGTTACTAAAACTTAACTGCAATATCAAAGTTATGCCATTAAATTATAAATGACAAATAGCAATGCCGTGTAATGAAAGAACGTCAAATATTATCAGCATATTTACATGTGTATGTGAGTTTGCATGTATGAGAGCGTTTAAATGTGCACACATGTTAAGCTAATAAATCTATGAACACATGTCAATTTATAAATTGTTTAAAATTTTACAAGAGGAATGAGTTACACCTTGTGATAACGTGTAGGTAGTGGCAATAGTGGTTCCTTTACCACAGCTGCCACCGTTGTCTTGGCTTCGAGTTCAGGTACCGATCGTTCAGATATAGGAAGTTTTGTTTTATCTTTTGGTGGCTTAATTTCCGTTGTGTTAGTGCTCTTTTCTAGTGATTCTGAGGACGGAAGCATAGAGGAGGTAAGCTGCATGAGATGATCTGGAGTCACAAAAGTAGCTAATGTTTCTGCTAGGTTTGAACAAGATGAGCCAACAGTAGGTGGTTTAGGCCCCATTTCAGTCAGGTTAGCCACGGAAATAGTAGAACCAATCTTATTACTGACAGCATTCAGAAAATTTTGTGCCAAAGGTGCACTTGTCTCCATGCTTGGGGTTAAAGAGGATGCTAGAGGAATTTTTCCACTTTGAATTGGTGTAGGAAGGTAATTTATAGGAATTTTATTTGAAACTAAACTTGAAGCCATCTCAGGGATTAATGAAGTGGCTTGGCTGGGAGGCACAGTTGATGTAAGAGTAGGGCCCAAACTATGGTTGCTGCTGACAGATGGAAATAAAGAAGGAAATTCTGTAAAATTTGGAGTCCCAGAAGATAAAGGGACATTCATGCCCTGAAATTGCAAAGCCTGCTGCATGGGAGGCATTGTCAGTCCAGGGGCTGGCCTGATTAAAGGAGGTTGCTGCAGATGAGGAAGACCTCCTGAGGGCGCGTAATATCCATGCCAATACATTGGCAAACCAAGACCAGAAACATTTGCCGGTGCTGGAGATGGAGTGGTACCCCAAGAACTGAAGCTTCCAATGGTTTGATATGTGGGGAAGTTGCCCTGAAAGGTAGGCTGCTGAAGGATCTGAGCAGTGTTGGAGGAAAGCTCGGGTGCAGTTCCACTTCCAAGAGAAGGAAGGTTTGCAGGCAAGCTTGGAGATGCAGTTGGAGGATGATGATAGTGCGACTGCATGAAATACATGTCAATAATTACTAAACTTACTTAAGTTCCATGAAATCCAACATTATAGTACCTGGATAATGGCAGGATCATTATGCATAGTTGCAGTTTGAGCAAGGGGTGAAGCCTTGACCTGTAAATCCTGGTAAATGTCCAATCTTCATAAATCAGAATACATAAAAATAAAAAATTATGAACACTCTCATGCGACAATTGTAGAACTTTACATTACATGGAAATGCCTAAACTGAATATGCCTTTTAGAAGGCACATGTCTGCACCACACGCTCAATCCAAGAACAGCTCAGGTAAAACAGTGAAAAGAACATATCTCGAGTAAGAGAATTGATACAAAATGACAATACCATTAGGCCCACTCTTCAATTGGTAAAATATTTTTTTATTAAATTCACGCTTCAATTGGTAAAGTATTTTTGTATTAAATTCAGTTTGTTTTGTAAGTGCAGTGTGAATAGAAATCCAATCAGCAACAAAATATGGAAATATTAGCAACCAATCTTTAGATTTGTTATTTCATCAACTACGACATCCAATTTTCATTTTCATTACATACAACTTCACCCCTTGTACAAGGATATCTGTAAGAAAAAGATATGCATATCTCCCCATCTAAAGGACACACAATTCACACAACACGAATTGGACCGATTCATGTGCTTCTATGAAGTTCCTTATTAAAGTATGATTGCCAGTTTTCTCTTGTAGCCATGTCTGGTTTTGGCCATGGTTGGCATAATCTGGACATTGAAAATTAAGACTTGTTTTTTGTTGGAATCTAAATGCACGGAATTGAAACTTAGAATTTTAAACTAGATCTTAGACGATTCAAAAAATTTATTAGTTTTCAGTCTTTTAGATTATAAATAGAATCATTGAGGCATGTAATTTACAATGAAAGATTGAATAAAATTCATATTTTTTCATCAAATACTTATAAGCACTATCGTATGTGGATTCTTCAAGCACTTTGTAAATCTTGACAGCAATTTCTACATAATGCGTCTACCACCATAGGGGTGTCAATTTTTGACACGACCTGAAACCCGACCCAGACCCAACCCGAAAAAATTTGGGTTCGGGTCGACCCGTTTGTGAAAGGGGTCGGGTTCGGGTTCAACAGAAACGGGTCGAGTTCAGGTTGACCCAGCAACCCGAAAATGACCGGAAAACCCTCTGTCAGCGTCTACTGCCCACCCTGCCCAGTCGAACCAGAGTTTGCGAGCTGTCTGCATGATGTCGCCTGAAGCATCGAGTGCCGCCCGAACTCTGAAGCCTCGAGTCCCGTCCCGGAGGAGAAGTGTACGCGCGTGCGTCCTAAATCCGCAGTGCATCCCGAACCCGAAGCTGCAACGCGTGCTGCCGCTGCTCCCGTTGCTCTACCTGCGACGCGTGCTGCCGCTACCGCTATCGCTACGTCGCCGGGAGTATTTCCAAAATGCGGGTCAAGTGGTGTCAAACCGGCAACCCGCGCGGGTCAAGTTCGGGTTGAAAAAATTGACCCGTTTACAAAAATTGGTCAGGTTCAGGTTGACCCGTTTAAATCCAGGTCAATTCGGGTTCGACCCGAACCCAACCCGCTGACCCGAATTGACACCCCTATACCACCATATGTCCTAGAAATTAAAATTGGTGGCTTTTATTATGGGAAAAGGATTAAAATGATCCATTGATTCTTTATGACAATGGAACAAAATGATCTTCAATTATATTAAAGGACCATTTTGGTCCATCAAATCTTTAAAGAGGAACCTGATACACCTTGGAAGTAAAAAAAACAAATAAAAGAGAAAAACAACGTACAAACACAACGATATGGCTGATTTTCTTATTTCTACTTCAATAATAAATCAAGATACAATTGATCTACTATTCAAGAGGCGCATCAACACTTCCACAAATCTTAGACATCACTAAGAACTCACAACAAACACTAGGAACATAAACTCATCAATATCATCCCTAAACCATAGAAAAACTTCACCTTAAATAGCCCTATAATATAATAACACAATTAGAACCTTCCTAAAAAATTAAATATGAATTAGGAAATATTTCTAAACAATTAATAACTTCCAAAATAACATAAACAAAAATAGAAAACTTTCCTAAACAACTCTCTCTTGATTAAAAATATTCCAAAATAATTTTCCTTAATTAGGAAGGGAAATTAAGAATTTTCCTAAACAACTCGCTCTTGATTAGGAATCTTCTGAAACAACTCCCCTTTCCTGGCTATGGGGCCACCCAGCGTATCAATACTTACCCCCCAAAAAAGGACCTTATCCTCAAGATGTAATGAAGGAAATTGTTGCCAAAGAATATTTTCATTGGTGAGTTCTCACACGCACTATCACACCCTAATTTGGCCCATTTACGATCATCCTGGAGTATAACATAGAAGGAAAAATCTAAACAAACCTTTTCTTACTAACACTCATTCTAAACTACTTCTATCATAATCAAATGAGTAAAAAGTAATTTATTTAGATTCTCATAACATATCAAGCTTTAGACTTAACAACATGAAGCTTATAATACATCAACTAAACTCACATATAATCAAAAGAATACAGAGCTTTACTAGAGAACTTTTTAAAATTTACATACATACCCAAAAGCCTTTGTACTGCCTCCACTTGGAACACTATGCACACCCAAAATATATGTACATCAGCAAGGATAGTCACCCCCTTCATGCCCTACAGGCTCAGTCCCCTCTCATGCAGTACAACTACTGCTAATGAGCTAAGTTTCAATGAAATACATAAGCAATGCATAAGAACTGAGAATTATATTGTTATTAATTAATTTAAAATATTAGAATTCCATACTGATCATAACAAATGCATAACAATAATTTTCATTTTATCAATTATTCAACACATTTAAACAAGTCATATGATGGTTATAAGGTTTTGCACCCTTTCAGCTCTTCAATTCAAGGTTGGGTCGAGATTCACAGCTTTTAAAATTGAAGCTACTCTCTTATTCAAGGTTGGGTCCAAATTCCTAACTTTTAGAATTGACGGTGTAGGCTTACCTTGTTAGGTCTATTGTCTTTCCTTATGTTGGCATATCTCACATATATGATTTATTTCACTTTTCCATCATCAATCATTCCTCACAATCATACATAGCTCATATAATCATTATTACTTAAAGAATCAACAAAACTGAAATTAATTGAAATAAATGCTATCATAACATAATAAACATGAATTTACAAACTTATAAAATTTCTACTTTCTATGCATTGTTTGAGTATCTCACCTCACTTGAATTTGTTCTTCTCGGCCCTATTTTCTTCTCCTTTTGTACACCACCTCCAACAAACCTCTTCTCTTTCAATACAACCCCTACCTCTCTTCCAAACTCCTCTACTACCATCCCTTCTTTTTATTTTCTACTGAAATTAGCAAACTGGTTTCAACACACACAAATTTCAGCAAAAGCAACATTCATCCTACAAAAATTCTTTGCTGAAATATTGAATGCCAGCAACCCCTTACCTGATTTCAGTTTTCCTCCACTCTTTTCCTTCCTAATTTCAACTAATTGTAGTTGTTTTCTGCAAATGGGTATTGATTTCAGTAAATGCCTTAAGCAAACATTGCCATATCCCTACATAATTTCAGCAAGCAACTACAATATTCCTTACCAGAATCTTCTTACTTTCTATTTTTTTATTTCTGCATATTGGCTTCCCCATCAAGCAGCCGAATTTTCCCAGCAGCCGCAACCCTTTTTTACACCCTGCTTCTCTGCTATCGTTTATCCACTCGAACTCAACAGTGGGTGGGGAGAAACAAATGGGGGAAAAAATGCTATAATGCTTTGGCTTTAAAGCTTTAGGGTAAGCTTAATATTATAATATTATTAAGGCTCCACTACAAAATTCCACTCACCTTTCCCAGCTTTCCCAACCGTTGATTAATGAACTCTCTAATCAGTCCCTTTGCATGCCTATTTTAGGGCAAATTATTGGGTCAGGTGACCGAACGCAGAGATAGGTCCGGATATTAATAAAATATTATTTTAAAATTAGCGCAACTAAAGCGCAGGTAAAGCGCAACTAAAGCGCAAGTCAAAAAGCGCAACTAAAGCGCAACCAAAGCGCAACTAAAGCGCAACCAAAGCGCAACTAAAGCGCAAGTCAAAAAACGCAAGGTGACGCGGCAAATTTTTATTGGATGTACGAACTTATTTTCCGCGTCCGGTCACCTGACCCAATAATTTGCCCTATTTTAGTGGGATTTGCTTCTATTCTTAGTAACCGGAATAAATAATGAAATGAAATGAATGTTACCATATAGTATTAATTAAATAGTTAATTAACTGATTTTGAAATATAAACAGTTATTCATTAACAAATTATACATATACTATTAAATGAATATTTTACGTATACTTCTATATGTCAACATGCTCGGAATTAAAAAAAAAAGGAATTTTATACTTACATTTATTTTGAAAATTTTGGATATTATAGGCACTGTTGTCATAATTGAAATAAGAGCCATTCCATAATTTTCTACAGACAAATTTTGCCTTTAAATATCTGTTCCAAAAATAATCTTTAGAAGCTCCATCACCAACTAAACGAGCCAAGGCTGAAGCAACCTATAAAGTAGCTACCCAAAGACCTTCAATATATGCACTCACCCCAGAAGCTGACCACATATCACATGTTGATCAGGGCCACCACCATTTTCAATCATTGCAATGTAAATAGAAAGCCAAACGGCATGGGCAAAAGATTCGTCACCTGTAGCCACCACAACTCTATACACTTAAAGAACAAAATTTGGATTAAGATCTTTCCATTTATTCCAGTCATGGAGGTTATATGAATTTTTCTCAAACCATGTATTATTTTGTCCAAGATGATGATGAACTGCTCCAAAAACCTTTCGTGGAACCGTCTTGTGACCATGAATGGGTAAGATCTTCTCAGGGTCAAGCATCAGCACTGCCATAGCAAAGTCTCTTTGGATACTTAAGTTTTGAAAATAGCATAAGGAGAGAAAGATGAGTAAAAATGAACATCGTAAGTGTTGAACATATGATACTCGCTTCCTTTGAGATACAAAAATTGCCCATCATTTTCTTCTCCTTCGAGAAGCAATGATGT